TAATGCAGCTGAAGTCTATTGTATCAAGCCAAAGCCATAGGGAATCAGCTCTTAAGAAGGTGACCCTCCAACTACAAAAACTTCATAAATACACTTACTTTTCCAGTTGTAAGGTTACTGTGGCTAATGTTACATGATCAAAGTCCTTTAGGTCTGCTTTGATTTACACTAGAGTCTGAAGTTATTACCAGCATTAGCTATGAAACTATGAAGATAAGGAGTGTCATTATGTCTGAGTCTTTCTCCTGTCTCAGGCTGGGGCTTATTAAACATAGTTTAAGATGTAATCCCCTAGATGTTCTGACTCTGGCCTTTGTTGTTTTTTCCTCATATGGAAGAAGTAGTGAAAAATATTAGTTTTGGTTTTTTTTTTGCCATGGCTTCATTGTGTAATTCTGAGTATCACTTTTCTGTATTCAAAACTGTAATACCAATTCTAAAAGGCAAGTTAAGAGTTTAAAGCAACACAGATAAAAGTAGAGAATCTCTCTGAAAATCAAATCAGTAAGACAGAAGTACATTCTAGTCCAAGCACTGGTTATGAAGTTGGTGGGATAGCAGCACTGCACCAAATCCCCCAGTTCCCTTGGAGAACTTGCACCGGTCTAAATAGCAGGTTGGGTGCATCTGCCTCACCACCAGCTCTCCTACAATAAAACAGGATTTATACAAAGTAGAAGGAAGTGTGATAGGACTTACTATATTATAAAATTATATCAGAAGTGAAGGATGCATTTCCTACTCCTGTGTAAACTAGTACAGTGACCTCAACACAGGACAGAAACCTATGCTTCACAGATCCTACCGTAGCACTGATAACTTCAGAGATGAAATCTCCTTTGTCCCTGCCTCCAAAATGATCTTTCACTCTTCGCTGCTCCTTCTCATGAAGTTAACAATGTACCCAATGCATGATGGGGATTGATTAGTTGGCATGCCAAGAGGGAAAAAAGAAAAATTACTATAGTGTCAGCTGCTTTTACTGTGATCCTGAGAAAAGAAGAGCCATGAAAGCCTCACATATCAATGCTGCAGAAATGATACCAAATGTATAAAAAAAAAACAGTCCAAAACTTTGCTGCAGAACTCCAGAAGCACTGAAAACAGGACGCAATATGTGGGAAATCAACAGCTTTATCTTCACACAAATTACATCAGTATGATGCCACCTTTTACAGACTAATCACATTTCAATAAACCAGGATTAAAAAAACCAAAATATTTTATGTTGGAGAAAATACCAGTCATGGCCGCAGACCCAGTCATGCTGTAGATTAAGGGTTTTCAGTTTCTTTTGTGCAGTTTTGGAGGTTTTCAGGCTGCTTCTCAATGGTCACTGACATAGGCAAGTTTGTTGACCTTTGAACCAAATGGAGTATAAATTCCTACCAAATAGTCTCCAGATGAGAACAGAGTTGCAACACCTACGCTAGACTTGCAAGTGTCCTAAGACACCACATCTGAGACACGTAGACCTAGTATCTCTATGTAGAGCTGCAAACCTGCAAACCCCCTGTGTAACAATCTTATTAGACTCACAAGGCCATGGAGACACACATCAGATACCTCCAGGCTTTCTGGGGACATTTGTGGTAAAAGCTGACTATGCTATGCTCCACAGACGGCTCTCTCAAAATCAAGCATTACACATTTGCTCAGAATACATAGCAGGCAGGAAATAAAAAAAAAAAAGTAAAACCAAGATGAGTTTCTATTTACACTTCCTCGTATGTACACAAAAAATCCTCCTCTTGGAAACTTTAAACTCCATTCAACTGTATAAACCCCATCTCTGGCAAGGGAGAAGTTTGCTGCCAACTGCATCAGTTGGTTGGCGGTTCTTTTTCTCTCTCAGCACAGCTGTACTGCTGGATCCCAACTTCACCTGCCTTTAAAAGAGAGCCCAGATCCTGCTATTTGCATGGCAATGACAAATAAATTTCACTGGAGGTGCAGCGTGTGTGTACATATCCAGCAGTAACCCCTACATGGCTCTTGCAACGTGCACTGAACTATGGATTTCTGTGGCTGTACCATTCCTGACACCTGAGCTAATTTAAAGATAGTTCATATCTGCACAAGTTGTACACAAACCTCTGATTGCAGTGGAGAAGCAGCACTGGAGCTGTTCTTGCACACATGCACCCCAGATGTTGCTGAGAACAGATTCCCAGCTCAGCTCTATGCTGTTAGGTCAGCACTTCATTTAAGGGTCATGTCCAAGATGAAAAAGTCTTGAAATCCCCACTGGAGTAAAACAGCTTTAGTCCCTGGTGTTTACCAATACAGAGTCTTATCTCTGTCCTTATTTGGCTTTATCTCTCCCCAGTAGCCCTTTGACTTAAACTCCTTGTAGCTAGATTAAACAAACTAACATAAATGTATTTATTAAAAAAAATACACATATTCCTTCTTTCAGTGCAGTATATAAGAGTGTATTTGTTTGAAATGTATCAAGAAATATTCTTTTAAAAGCATTTTTTAAAGATTGCACAGGATTTTCTACAGAAACTGATATATAAAAGCCTATACTAGAGTGATACACAGCTGCAGAGCTGCCTTAGCAGATCTGCATTAGCACACAGACCCTCCCTTTCCAGGCTCATTAATATTTCAGTTCATTCCACAGTGAATACATGTTTTTCTGAGGCACAGTGATATGCCAGAAGCTACATTGTGGATTGGAATAATAGTCTTTCCATTTGAAGTCTGGTCTGGTCTCTCCAAGCAAATGAAAAGTGAGCTATCTTGAAACTGAATCACCAGCATGTCTTTAGAAATCTTCTGTTAGCCTTTGAAAGAGCAAAGGAAAAAGACTACTGCCGGGGGGAAACTGGTGTGAACTTCCTATCTTTGCTATAGTCAATTTAGCAATATCCACAGATAGGCTGACTTAAAGTGACTGCCCAGCAGTATTAAATTCCCCTTAATAGACTGACTTACCCCAGTGGTTTACAAAAATATCTTCCTGGAATGCTTCCAAACATACCAGCGATGCTGGCTGGCTAAGCATCCAAAATAGTCCTCAGTTAGCAACTTCCAAACTCCACACAAGAATCAAATTGCTTCACTTGAACACTGTACTACATTCCCTTGATCAAAGTCATCATCTCCCTCTTTGGGTGCAATTAGGGAGGAAAGTCTTTTACTAGAAAATAAAATTTATGGAGTCTTCAACAGACCCTGACACAAGAGAGAAATATTAGAATCACAGAATCATAGAATACATACTCTTTCAGTGTGGCCTCATATTCAAATTCTTATAGGATCATAGAGCGCTTAGGGTTGTAAAGGACCTTTAGATTATCTAGTTCCAACCCCCCTGTCACCGGCAGGGACACCTCACACTACACCATGTCACCCAAGGCTCTCTCCGACCTGGCCTTGAACACTGCCATGGATGGAGAATTTACCACTTCTGTGGGCAACCCATTCCAGTACCGCACCACCCTCACAGCAAAGAACTTCTACCTTATACCTAACCTGAACTTCCCCTGTTTTAGTTTAAACCCATTGCCCCTTGTCCTATTGCTACAGTGCCTAATGAATAGTCCCTCTCCGGCATCCTTCCCAGGTCATACAAAGAAATGAAGTTACTGCTGCTTCATAAATACTGGCAGCACATTTAAAGACCACTGGTGCAATAGGAACCTGTCGTTACCTTTGGGAAGTCATCTGAAAGTTTGATTTTGCTTTGATCTAGGTGCCGTAGGACTGTAGATAAGTAGCTAAAGCTGATACCTCATGGCTTCTAGAGATCACAGCTGCGATCCTGTTCCCTTCTGCCCAGTCTACCTCAAAGGTTACGACCCCTGGAACAAGCTGCACTTGTATTTCAGCAGTGAGAGCACAGCCACTTTCATTCTGCGACCTGGCCAGTGAGCTGTGTTCGGGGGGGATGGTTGCCCTCCTATGAACTGTGATAACCAGTGTGCAGCGCCACCCCTCCTTCCACTGACTCTGCTACAAATAGCTGCAACCTTCAACCAGTGGACAGGACAAGCAGCAAAGGGAAACAAACAGCTCTGACTGTCACAGCTAGAGTCAGAGCTTCAGCTCAAATGAGTCAGCACAGCCCCAGCTGTACTAGCTGTGGGCTGGCTTTGTTTCTCCACTAACAGGCTGCAAGTCAAAGCACAAAGGAAAACTTCCCAACTGCTTGTCGTAAAGTAAAACAGCTAAATCTAAAGCCTTATCTGAAAACAGGCAGCATACACCTTCCCTTCCTCACTCCATGAGATGTTTAAGAAGGCTGGCAGCACTAGACTTTTTTCAAGACTCTTCTCTGTTCAGGAGCGTAGTCTTCTCCCTCCTGGCAGTACATCAAATGCTCTTACCACTATAATATTTCAATGCTGCTAGACAATGCGTGCAAGCATGCACTTGGACAGTAAGCAGTTCTACCAAGTTTTGTGTAATCTTTAAAATCTTTCTTTCCTTGATCGATCACGTAGGTAGTTTTTTGTTTGCACTGACTTCTAGGTATGGATTTTCATTGTACAGATAAACTCAAAGACATAGATAAAGAAGGTGATGGCTATTTATTGATTCTTAGCACCAATGTTTCAGTGAGCCAATTACAAAAAAAAACAGTGCAGTGTAACCTACACACCAAGTAAATAGACTGAGTGAATGCTGGAAATCATAGCATCATAGAATCATAGAATAATTTGGGTGGAAATGCAGGGTGTGAAACACATGCAAGACTGAAATCTGTTTGCAAAAGCTGTTGTAAGACCAATGCAAAAGCCTATCTTAATAGAAATTAGTTTTAGCACAAAAAAAGACAAAGAAAAGCCAAAATCATTACATATTTTATTTCCAACAAAGATTACAGTCAGTTATTTGTCAGTATTTAAGCACTGGTTAATGCTATGAAAGATCATCTTACTGAATATCTGGGAAAACATGGAGGAATTTCTTTCTCCTGAAGTTCTCCAGCTCTTTCAATCTTATGGTATGGGAAACTTCCTCATTTGTTTTTAGAGCAAAGGAGATAGAGTAAGAAGAGTCTTGTGGAGCTTGAAAAGCTAATTTATTACATTCAGATCATAAAAACGCATTCTTACATCCTTTGTAAGACACGTCCCTCCACAGACTCGTGTTAATGGTAAAAAGGCTATGAAAGAGAAGATGTGCTCTAGTGTCTTACACTACATATTGTTCCAATGAATTCTGAAGAAAAGTTCTGCTAGTGCAACCTTCATCTTTTTCCCAGGGAGAAGATCCAAAAATTTAATTTGCTTTGGTATTTAATTAAAATAAAATTCATTATGTGCGCATTTGTATGTTGCAAGTCCTGTAATGTTTAAAAACTACAAACCAGGAAAAAAAATACAGACATTCCTGGATTTTTTTTTTTTTTTTTTTTTAATCAGAGTGATAAATAAGCCTACATACTTTTAAGTCTCTAGGCAAGAGCACAGTCAAACTGGCCTTTCTCCAGCCCATCAAGTCCCTCAGCCCAGGTTGAGGTTGGCATACTCCTGTAAGGGTCAAGGAGAATTCGGAAGCAATGAGCAATGATTCCCAAGAATATAAATAATAAAATCACAAAGGCAAACGCTGTTTTCTGTTCCAGGGTCATGCTGGAATTTGGTGTCATGTTCCCAGATGGCACAAAAGTGGCAGTGAATACCTCTCCATCCGTCATCAAGAGAAGGTGAAATGAATAATCCCACAGTTGCCTTCTTTTCATCATCATTTTGCTGAGGTCAGAGTAGAAGCCATTTAGATGTACTCTGCTATCTGTAGGGCAAAGGGGAAGCAAAGTTAACTGCAAATAGCCCTTTTTTTTATTTACTTCAATACAACTTTCTCATAATGGAGAAAAATTAGATGAAAAGAACTTGACAGCAGGGTCTGTTTGCCTCTGTGTCATATTTGAGACAAGTTAGAAATTCTGCAATGTTCTGTTGGCAGTACAGAATCCAGCCACAAATCTTAAAAGTCGCCCAACCAGAGCTGGCCGTAACCTCTCTCTAACCTACCATGTAATTTGGACTGGAGCAGAACGTTTGTTTCCTGCAAGGGGAAAAATGAGGGGTTTAGCTACAGTGGATAGCACAGAGAAAAGACAAATGTCAAGCCTTGCTGCAGGACAGGTGAGATGTAGTTGATGCTACTCTAAGATGGGTCTGAAAAACACATGTAGTTATGGTTTTACACAATGACCAAAAATGTTTTGAGGTGGGATGGACCAGGACCCACTGCAAGCCAACAAAATGTGTGTGTCCCCACAATAGAAAGCAGCAATCATTCAATGCCTGAAAACATTGAAGCACTAATGAAGAAAAGCCATAAATAATTTGTGTTTCAGAGATTTAGAAAGGCAGCTTGAAGTAAGTCAGGTAGAAATTTATCTCAAGGGCAAATATTTCTAAATGCTTTCTGATGTAAAATCAGATTCAGGCTTACAAACACAGTTAGGAGAAAATGGTTTTTATGTTAGCAGCTCTGCCACATCAAGAGAAATGCCAGGATTTGGGATTTGTTCCTAGACAGCAGTATATATGCTGTGCTACTTCCTGCCTGGCACATCTGCTCCCTTGGCTGTCTATCTGGGTGTCTGTCTACCATTATTTCCTCCTCCTTTGCACACTGGATTTTCTTTCCAGCAGGAGGGAAGCTGGATGCCACAGCTTAAGCATGGTCATCAACACCACTGAAATTACCTGTGAAGTGTTCTTAGGAAAAGAAAGACTTCAAAATTGGTTGAAAGACAACACTGTATTGGCTGAACATGTTGAGTTAATGGAAAGAGGAAGAAAAAGAAATAGAAGAACACAATGCAGTATGTAGCACACACAGAAAAAAACTTCACATCATTATAGCCTTCATATCATATATGCTTCATATCATTTTATAGATGGAATCATTAGACTGATTCCATCACTGGACTGGGATCAGTAATTAGGTGTAAGTAGATTAAGAAAACATGGCAATACTGGGATATTTCTAGGATTATCCTAAAAACTGTACCTTAAACAAAATAGACAAAGTATTAAAGCAACAAAAAATTGGAATTGGGTGGCTGTTATTGCCTGGTGTAATTTATGATGGAAAAGATAGCAAGATCAAAACTGCTATCTTTGTCTTTTGAAAAAGTGTCTCAGCTACCAGCTGATAAAAAAGTGATGCAGAGGATTGTAACAGAGAGAGCTAAAACTTAGGAACAACTGGTTTAATAAAGCCAACATATATTTGGGGGTGGGGAGGGAGTAATATCTGGTGAAGGAAATAATGAATTCTGGCAATAAATAATCTGATTATAAAAAAGAAGAAACATATAAACTGAGTGTACCACTGTGGCACTGATGCTGCAGTGGAGGCCAAAGGTGATGGTGTCCCATTCTAAAAGACCTTTGGCATTCTGATTTTGGAAAGCTTTTCTGTACATACATTATGTCATAGTTTTTAATGTTTAAGCATATGTCCTCAGCTAAACGCATATTATACACATGTAACTTTAGTCTTTCCTAAAACTGTAATTACACAATACAATAATTATGCTTGCTTCCACAGATCAGAGTGTTTTAGGAAAGGTTTTCCTGAAATTTTTCTAGGCATTACCTGAATACAGTTAGCAACCATGGGAGAAAATGAAAAAGAAGGAAAATCTGTGAATGTCAGGAAAAATGAACTTTTGATACATTGGTTTTAAATGCCAAACTTAGAACAGACAAAGTATTATGTACACAGCTTTGAAGAAACTTGATTTTGACAATGGATGAGCTTATTAACCACTTCTTTTATGAGAAAATTATGTTTAAATATCCCCACTGATATAAGCACATGAGTACTTGAAAGAAGAAGTTAACTAGCTAAAGACATTAGTTGGGCATATCTACACACAGAAGTAATAAGGCTTGGAAGCATCTTGACAACTCCTGGCTTCTGGTCATTCACCTAGAGCAACTGGTATAAGGGAGTCCACGGGTCCCATATCTTTCTGCCTGCCCATCATTTTCTATTGTGTCAGCAGACTGCCCTGGCACTAAGCATGAGAGTTGCTTTCCAACTGAAAACATTCCCTGTACCATGCACACTGTACATGGCAAACTGTATTTTCTTGTATGAGAACCTGTGCACACCTTGCAAGGGTTCCTCCATCCTTGCGTGAGCTCCATCCTGCCCTGATGGTAGTTATAGCAGGCTGACAGGGAGGACAGGAGCCTGGAAAAGGGTGTTGAGGAGCTGCAGAGAGAGGCAGAAAGGCTCTTCCCCATGGCATGAGGGAGAGTTCTGCTACAGCTCTAATGCAGATCCCAAGAGGCCAAGACAATAGCATGAGTGAGATGCACACTATAAATATACCCATTACAGCACAAAAGCATCCATGCAGCCAAAACAAATAAATAAAAAATACAGATCGTAACAAGGGAAGTGGTAGAAAGCAGATACTAGTAATAATAACAACACAACCTGACTGTGATTCTTTTCAGGTTGTTCCAATCACTAAATGCTGAGCCAAGTTATAGCAGGGGTGGAAGCGCCTCAAGCTTGTTTAAAAATTCATTGATGTAATCAAGATTCCTGTAGGTGCAGACCTGATGCTTTCTTTTTTATTTCACATCTCAAGTAAAATCATAACTGACAGAAAAAACATGTTATCCTTCACTTAAATGTCTAGCCCTGATTTTTTCTTTGTTTGTTTTTGTTGTTGTTGAAGGCAGATGTGCCCCCTTCAGTTACTTTCTGTAATGGATTCCTTGCAGATGTGTTTAATCCTTTGTTTAATGAGTAAACAGTTGCACATCACTACATCTACATCAGGTTGTTAATATAATTTCTCCTTGCTAGTGTGCACACATCCATTAGATAGCTCAATTATAGCTCTCCTTGAGGTGGTGCTTACAGTCTAAGATAGTAAATTTATACAGAAATGAAACAGAGTAAAACTTGCATATCATTAATGGTGTTAAATTGACAGGTTAGTCTTTGGCATATCGTAAACCTTTACAGCCTTCACAAAGTTTCAGGTATTCACCTGCAGCCCTGCAGCTGAACTATGACCACAGGGCCTGGTCAAATGCCACCAAAACATAACTTTTCTGGCCAAGCCACTATTTGAAGTTAAAATGTCACTGGATTAATTAGTTGATAGAGCTATATGCACATTCATCTGAAAGATACAGATTCACAGGACTCTGAATAGTTAAGCTTATTCAAAGATCCTTTAACTGGTTTTTCAGTTATTTTAGCATTTCTTTTGTTTCAAATTTGACTTTAATTGAAAATTGTTGCACATTAAAAGGATTTCCTCAGGGCTCACAGTTTAAAGCTTCTGACTTTGAGAACAATAGGACTGGCTTTAAGATCTGTACCTCTAGGAACAACATATTTACAATTAAACGTGGTTTTGTTCTGCTGTTTAAACTGCTCCCTTTTTATAACCATGTACATAAATTGCATTTTGCATCAATACCCATATGTTTATGTTCTTACTATAAAAGATTTGCATGTTGGTGAGTAGTCACAGCCAAAGAGACTGTAGGAAACCACATACCAGTTTGCTGAATAGAATCTTACTTCTACCCATTTTGCCAGGTTCTGTATTCTACCCGCTCATAAACTTGCGTTATCATCCCATCCCTGCAGCTGCAGTACTCTGAGACACAGAGCAGCTCTGGAGCTGACCTTCAGTTGCCGTAAATTGTTCCAAAGTTGGAGATATATTCAGATTAGAATTATTGGCCCTTTGTCTTTAAAAATACTGAGGAACTGGTAATTCAAGAAACCACTGATGACATCCAGGCTGAACTGTGACATCCACAATCTATGTGCACATGGATTCAAAGCAAATGTTTTAACTAAAAATATTAACAATCAAAACAACATACAGAATGACAGAATCTGTTTATTGCTATTTCTTGACAAATCATTCACTCTGTTCCATGTAAATCACATAAAACAAATAGAAAAGCCTCTGAAACAAGCAAGGTCAAAGGAGTAATTTAACTAGCAGAAAACCCTTTGAGTCACAGGGGCCTGCAGCCTGAATAACTAGACACAAGGCCAAGTTTCCTGCTACTGCAGCAAGCTATGCTGTTCTGTCAACTTAATCACCATCTTTCCTACTTACACCTTTGGTCCTGCAAAATTTGCTTGATAAAAATTACAGTTAAGCAACAAACAGCAAGACATTAAAGATCAAGACATTTAAAGAGATTAAACAAGGTATTTTTATCTCTCTTTTAAGTCAATACCCAGAGATTTTCTTTCGCCCTTCTTGTTCACTCAGGATTTACTGGCCTGATCTGTAAGGTCCTGTGACTTAACTGGGTGCTTCACCCCATATGCCTGATATCCAGGTATCCTATATTAGTGGAGCAATTGGTTTTCCATTATGAAATATCTCATGGAATGTAGCAAGCAGACAGCTGTGCCAAGACCATGTGCCTGATTTTCCTATACCACCCATACTAGTTTCAGTGATTACTCACTTCCTTAGCTACAAAAACACATGGCAAGTTTCTTCAGGCTCAAACATCTATACACAAAATATTTGAGAAAAGATATTTCCATGCACTCACAGCTCAGTTGCTGTGATTGACGTTTTAAACCTACCTTAAATAAACAAAATTTGATTACAAAAAGTACCAGGCTAGCAGATTGAATTACATGTGCACTTCTTTTGTACTGAAATGCTTCTTAGGTTCCTTCATACTGTTGCTTGCTGCACCAGAGTCTCTTTCCAACTGTATATATTTGATATATCAGCAATGCCCTTTTCACCTATACTTCATCTTTTTTTCTTACAGATTTGATACCAAGATGCCATTGCCCTTTCCCTGCAGGCACATATCTTCATCATCTCTCAACGGCTTTTAAGGACAGATCTTTGTGTGCAAAGAGCCCCGTGGTGCACTATTCAGTAGTTAATATTGCTAAAGCAAGTTGATGGGGTTAATTTTAGCAATAAAAAATGCTAGAAAGGGACCTGTTATTTTTTTCCATAGACCCCCTCTAATACCATGCACATCACTTTTACTTAATGCACCATGGAATGTTTAAAATGCAGGCTCACCTTTAATGTGTTAATGTACACAAATAATATTTTTAATTCCTCTACATAAGCTGTGTAAGGATGATTTATACAAAAAAAAAGGTCAAAGTTATTCTAAAAACTTGAATTACTCACTGCATTTTCTAGAGTAATTGACAGCTTTTCAGCAGTTACTGAAGGCATGAATCTGTGAAACATCAATATATTTACATCATTCAGGGATCTGTGCAATGGTCTTAAATATGCACCCAAGACTGTTCTCCTTCCTCAGTATACATTCTTCTTTCAAAAAGAGGGTGTACAGATACAGAGGTGACAGTAATGCAACCCTTCTCCACAGTGAATATTTTAAAGGTATAGCAGTAATAGGCTAGCCAAAAATGCTAAAGCTTGTAAAGCCAATAACATGGCTAATATCCTCATGGGCTGCATCCTACATGAATCAGCAAGGTGAAAAATTGTCACCATAACAATCATAAATCCTTACCAAAAGAAATATTTCCAGCTCAAAATGACAAGAAATGGATTTTATACTAGCCTGACATTAGTAAAAGATGAACTGTAATATACTTTTCAGAAAGTAAATAGGAAATACATAACAATATAGTTAGTATATAGTAATTTAATTATTGTTATTTTGAAGTCTAATGTCAGTATTCCTGACCTGGTATGGAGGACATAATAGAGAATATTAGCCAGGTATATGCAATATAAAGATTATAGCTTTATTAAATAAGAAAATTAGACAATCAATTTCTGTGAAACAAATACCTTCATCTAGTAGAGGGGAAACTTGACCCATTTCCCACTGCAGCAGTTAGAGGTTGTTACAAGTATCTTTAGTTTCCATTCTTCTGCACCTTTCTTGTATTTCTAAGCATAAAGGATCAGGGACAGCCAAGAAACTAGCGAATACCCAAGTTCAAAAGCTGCTGTTTGAAGGCTTAGAATTTTACATGAAAAACCACAAACTCGACTGAGAATCCTATTTGTGTGTTAGAAGTAATTATCTGACAATACTATTGCTTTTTAAAGTGAGGCTATAATTTCAGTTCTGCCTCAGCAGCACTTCAATGGATTCTGCTTGGCTGAGTACAGCAGTCGCCTTGCAGCCTGTCTGAAACCATCTTCAGCAGAACATTAACATTCAAAAGGTGTGCCAAAAAATAAACCAACCTAAAAAAAACCCTACAGGATACTCCCATGCCTTTGCAAAGTCAGACCTATAATCTGCTAGTGCTTCTTTCTTCTCTATAGATTGTTGTCACTAATGTGTTTTTTTAACTCCAATTAACACTCTTTTTTCAGTCATTCCAAATAATGATTATAATATCTTATTATTATAATATCTTAATCCTTTATACATCTCAAAATGTAGTGGATTCTATGAATGCCAGTGGTATACTTTCTTCAGAAAATAAACCAACATTGCAGTGGGAGAGGATATAGTCAGTAACATTTAATGCTTAACTTCTGAACTTGTATCTAGGGATTTTTGCCCTGGGAGTTGTACTTGTTTCCACATACTAAAGCTGCCCTTGATATAGTTGCTTTTTATTTTGAGGGAAAATATCTAACTAAAGCGAGAAGGTTCCTGTTTTCCTTTCCCATGAGAAAAATGAAGTCAGTTTTAGAATGTCAGTCAGATAGGCTGATTAAAAAGTGTAAGGGTTGTTTTTCTGAGAGTTTTTACTTCAAAACAAGCAGGCACACATATGCATACATTCACACTGAGACCCCAAACCATTTTAGTGTGATGGAATGTCATCTGTTTTGATTTCTTACAAGGAACTTTAGCTTTCAGATATCCCATATTTTCATAGACCAGAAAAAGAATATGCGATATTATTCTGCTCTCACATTTCCTTCAGGCTTCTGTTATGGACAATAGATTTAAAGCTCACAAGAATTATCTTCCTTTCTCTACCCCTTGAGGATTTTCCTGTGGAAACATTCTTTATCTTAAAACATTAACCTTGCCAACCACATTGTCTTTGGCAGGGTCAACATTATGGTTCATGGGACTATCGTTTTGTGCATGTAGTAGGACAAAATATGCTTGCAGGGATGAAGCAAAGCTGTCACCCAGATTACCACAATGCAGAGATGGTCATTTTGTGGACACCCATGCAGGCAACCCAAGATATCCATGCACTCTGGGTGGTCTGCCTTAAACCCATTGACAGTCTGGCTTTTCATGCCTTACAACCAAGAAGAAAGAAGGAAGCACCTCCTCTTGCTGTCACATAAAAATCTCCATGCAGGGCTCCCTCAGCACCTCGCTCATTGCAGGCTAAGCAGGTAACAAGGGTTATACAGGGACTTAGGACTGGCACACACAAATATTCTGTATGTGGCAATTACTTGCCAGCAGGTTGCTTTGCAGAGTAGCTATACCTCAGTATAAGCCACAAGCCAGCCTGCAGTATGAATGCATTATGCTCACACCAGGGTATACCTCTGCCACTGAAGGAAAACATTTCAGGAAGGAATTTTCACCTCCTTGTTCTCCTTTGCACACATGGGCGCAGGTCAGTCTGATGCTGTGTTCTTCACCCTCCAAATCCCTCAGGATCTATTCCTTTAGACAAGCTTTAAAAAGGGTGTCCTAGAACCCCTTCTTTACACTTCTCTTAATCCCGTCAGCATCTCTTGTTCTGTGACTTTAAAGAGCCAACTCGCAATTTCCCTTTTTAAATCTTTGGGGATTTTCCACTTTTCCAAACCTGAGCTTCACACAGCTAGATTAGATCCACCCCATTACTGTACTCTGCAACTTTTGGAACAATAATTGACAAGGTTTAGTAACCCCTCCTTGTCTGGAATACTCATGACAAGACTTGACAAAAGAGGCTGGATTCCATTTCAAGAAGATTTCTGGCATAGGAATTTCATAACATCAGCCAGAAACTTTGTATTTTGTGTGTAAGTACTCTCAACCAAAGTCTTACAGACCCAGTAGCACATTACTGCAGCAGCATTGATCTGTGATTAAGGCAAGCTGGTGTGCTTTCTTGAGGTGTACCTTTTTGTCATGAAGAAACTCTTCATCACACTTTTCCCTTTAAACAATTCTCATTTTAATAGAAGTTGTCATCCACTCAGCTCCCAGAAACTGAGCAACTCTGCAAGAAAAGAAGGAATGATTCATTTCTTAGAAGAAGACAGATCATAAGAGTCTGAATCTGTAATTCAGCAATAAGGGAATTCCCACAGAAGGGGAGGTTTTCTCCTACCACTCTATATGCATTTTATGTTAAGTAGACATTAGATAAAAAAAAAACACAACATCTGAACCTCAGAAAAATCCACCTGGGTTAACACATAAAAGCTCAATGCTCAGTGCTGTTGCCACACTGTGTGAGTTGGACTCCAGAAGAGGCATATGCATCGCTTTTGCTAGGTTTTGGTCCCAGTAAGATTAAAGCAGGAGCCAAGAATCAAGTGGAAAATCTCAGGCATGTCTCTGACCAAGTCAGTCAGAGAGGGAAGACAGGAGGACAGCCTAATAGGGCAGCTATTGGCCAGGGACTACTTTGAGTGTCAGTTTCAGAACTAGATTCTGGTAGTCCCCTTAATGGTGCTTTAGGGAGTTTAAATTTTTGGGTGTGACTTTCAGTTTAATGGATGCTACAGGGTCAGTTCTTGTAGGGCTTGCAACGAGTGCATCATATCCTGGCTTCCAGCCCTAGAGGCTGCAAACTCCTAAATTATTTTATTTGAAAATGGCATGCTTCACATGTGCCTTTGAATGTAAATGATGTAAAATTCTAAATAAATATCAGAAATACATTGGTATTTCAGGTAATTTCCTACAGCACTAGTAATGGGATGAATTTGTATCTCCAGCTATTTAATAGGGAAGTTCCTTTAATTCTCTTCATAGGGAGCGTTTCTCAGCCAGTATCATTAAAATATTTTCCACAGCCTTGGCTTGCTTTGCTGTAGGGTTGTGTTTTAAGAACTTTTTGAAACAAGAAATATGAATATAATTATATATAATATTTAGTGCTTCAGTTCCAAAATTGCTGTCAATTTCAGAAAGTGTAAATAAGCGTAGCCTTTCAGAAAACTATCAGGTTTTGATTAAAAGCCATGAATGCAATCCTGAGACATTCACTGCAATTCAAAAGAGACTCCTGCTAACTTTTTTGTGTGCTTCTATTTTTGTCTACTCACAGATCTGTTACTTACTTTTGAGAGGTGGAGATGGGGACCCTGAAGTCCTGCATTGTACAAAGTCCATCATTGTACAAAGCAGCAACATGCCACACACTCAGTAGCTGGCATCTGTCTTGCAGGTCTTCTGCCACCATATTTAACACAGATGGAAGAGGATAGTGCAGACTTACTTTTTCCTGCGGTTTGCTCTCACAGATGTTTATACTGAGCTCCCATAAACTTCACAACTAATGTCAAGAACTGACTTTCTGAGTCAGGTCTCTAGAGATAAAGTAAGGTAGAAAGATTTCAGCTGATTCAACAGGATTTGCAGCCCAGCACAGCTTCCTCTTCTCCTGCAGAAAAGGGGGATAGGCCACGCATGTTTGGCCCAAGGGTCATGTGTTAAGTTGCTTAATACACTAAATCTTTATTTTCCCCTACAGGAGAATTTAATTGCCAC